TTGCCGTTAGTGCGGTTGGCGGTGTTTGACGCGGCGGAAGCAACTCCGGCAGCACCTGCACCTTGGGTGCTGGGAGCGGACTTGTTCGTGATAGGGCCACCGGATTGGATACCCGTGGACTCGGATGCGCTGCCGACGCTGAAGATGGGGGACTCCCAGCGCTCGCCCTTGGCAGCCAGGTCGGCGTACTCAGTCGCCTTGGTGGAGACGGCACCGGGGAGGTCGACGTCAGGGAAGATGGAATCGTGGAGGGTCATGACGGTTTGGACCTTGGTGTCACGCTTGGCAGCACCCTCGGCCTGCTTGGCCTTGGCTTGGGTGCGAGCTCGGATGGCATCGGCGTAGCGAGAGAAGATTGAGGGCGCGTTGGCGGGATCCTCGCGGGCGGCTTCCTGGGCACGAGTGGCTTCGGTGTTGATTTCCTTGGCGAAGAGGTCGCCCTTTCTGAAGGCTTCGCGGATCTGACCCTCGACTACCTTCTGCAGAGCCGGTCTGACCACGCGGAACAGCATGGGCTTGAAGGTGTTGAAGAGCAGCTTGTGGCTGGACTTCTTCAGCTTGATGTCCATGTTCTGGATGCTCACGTTCACCTTGTCCAGCTTGAAGAAGTGCTCCTTGTCGTTCTTCTGGGCGGTAGAAGCAGCGATCTTGACGCTGAGACCTTCACCACCGAGGAAGAGATCCATAACACCACGATCGGTGATGGCGGGGAAGCCCTCCTTCTTCTTGATGTAGTAGGCGACATCGCGCAGATCCATCTGGATGCCAGACATGGAAATCATGATCTTATTGTCACGCTTGTTGGTGATCTTCTTGCGGCCCCAGCGGAAGTAGTTGTCGCTGCCGAACTCGACAACGTTGGGCATCAGGTTGTCACCCTCAATGCACAGGTTCTCGACCACAACATCAACCATGGGATCCGAGACCTCGATACGGGGAATTGGAACGTAGCGGACATTCTCGAAAATGCCGGGGATGATGACATCGCGAAGATCCCGAAGGAGATCCGGTTTGAAGGTGGCCTTGCCATTGGCATCGTGGCCGAGATCCTTGAATAGCTTTTGGAACGACTCAGCAAGGGCCTTGTTTTGCGGGTCCTGGTCGAATTGGTTGGCTAAGAACTTGACCTCGTCGACAATACGGTCAGAGTGACCGCGGTAACGCTCGCGCAGGAGGTAACGGCCCTTATCGTAAATCTCGTTCCACTGGCGGTTGCATTCATCCTCCATGATGAAGCCCTGCTCGCGCAAAGATTTGCTATATCTGGTCAGTCTTTATTTTGGGGGGAAAGGGCTCCATCCAATTCACATACCGAATCAAGTTGTCGACGTTCGTGAACCAGTTTCGGAGTTCGGGATCCTTCTCAGCATCTCTGTAGATGGTGTTTAGCGACTCAAAGAAGCTGTCCAGAGAGGTGTGGTTGGCAAAGCGTTCGATCAGAGTGCGCAAGTTGTACTGAACAGCCTGAACATTGTCGGTCTTCAGAACGTCACGGGCAGAGCTACCGCCTTGCTTGGAGACGTTCTTGGCATGTCCGCCGTATTGCTCGGCCATGGTCAACAAAGTCTCAACGGCTTGTTGGTCTGAATACTTTGTTAGTGATCCGACATCGAGGTATAAATTCCGGCTCACTTACAGTCGGCATGACCCTGGATCTCAATGATCATCTTCTTGAGGCGCCAGACGGTCTGCTCGCGACGCTCCTTGGGAACCTTCTCGGACAAGTACTTCTTGGTCTTCTCGGAATATTCCCTCTTCTTGTTCTGCGGCGACACGCCGGTCTCTTCCTCGGCAACCGCAGCGGAAGCGGAAGCGGCGCTTCCCTTCTCCTGAAGATAATGTCAGTATGTGGAAATTGAGGGCCCATCCGGGGGTACATACATCCTTGTTCTTCTTGAATTTGGACTTCAGGTCATCCTTGGAGACATTGGGCTTCTCGTGCCACACGTTCTCCTCTGCAGCTTGGTCGATCTGCGAAAGTTCCTCTTCCGAGGGGCGGACCTGGTTGGCAGCCTTTTGAGAAGCATCGGCAGCAATGTCCTTGCCAAGAGTCATGGCATCGCTGACTGCGCATTGTTAGGATTGGGGAATGTTCGTGATCGGTGAACGGAAGTTGACTTACGTAGTTTTCTAAACTCTCCGTTGGTGATCATGAGTGTGCCCAGGGTCTTCAGGCCTTCAACCGCCTTGCTGGCATCTTGCTGACCGGTCTCCTTGTCGACGGGGAGTCCCGGGCGCGTGGCATCGACATTGCCAGCTGAAATCTTCTGGGCTTGCCAGACAAAGTCTTGCAGGAGTTCACCCTCATTCTTGACCAAAAGCATCTTCTTCGCTGCGTCGATGACATTGCGCAGATCTGCCACCAGGGTCTTTCCATCGGATGAGAGTTCCGTAGGTGGAGATTTGAGGGCCTTGGAGTTCAAGGCGGAGTTCAAAGCTATGTCACATTGCTTGTTCTGTGGGAGGAAGAGACCTAGTGTTAGCATTGGTGGCCAGGCTAATGGTGATGGAAGATGATGCGCGACGGACCGAGGGGAGCTTGCTATTCTTGAAGGCTATTAATGGGGGAGGCAGTCAGTATATATATATATATATCAATGAGATCAATTGGGGTGACCTGAAGTGTAACTTACCATGGTAGATACCGAAGAATTGGAGCTTCTGGTTGATATCCTAGAATGGGATTCCCTGTTAGTTTTCCGTGGTTGTTGTAATTGGGGTCGCACTGTCCCATATCGCGTGTCCCACATACCTTCTCCTTCTGCTTTGAATTGGTGGGTACGTTCACAGACATGATTGAAGTATATATTCCAAGACCAATGGATAAATGAAATAGGTGAAAGAGGTTATTATGTATGAACTAGTTAATGACAGGGTTAGAGATTGTCTTAGGGTTTGCATTAATGACAAACAAGGGTCAAGACTCACCTGAGAATTAATTATTTATTTGAACCTGTATAGGTACACACAACAAGGGGTATCACAGGAATGAAGGAAAATATGGGAAGAAAATTCAAGAGGGGAATGATGGGAGAATTATAAAAGATCAAGGGACATAGCGCCATGATGAGCAAAGCAGACGAACCAAGCAATGATCCTCCAAGGGGAGAGAGAGTGTTACCTAAAGAGAAACACAGACACACACAGTCACTCACTCACTCACACAGAGAGAGAGACACAGAGTGACAGAGAGGGAGTGTAGCTCCCCCAACTCCGTACTCTTGGCCCAGAGCTTGGTGATCGACACTTGACGTCATGTCGTGGCACAATTCTTTCGCCAAACACGGACATCTACTCCCTCGCCAGTCCTTTTTCTCTCTTTTCTTTTCTTTTCTTTTCTTTTTTGGTCACAATCACAGCCTAGAACACATTTGATTTGGGTACATAGTACATCAATTGGGTACATCAGTTGTGTCATATGTAAGGTCATATTAACCTATGGGTACTCGTACGTACCCAGCTCCAGATCCACGTCATCCACTTTATCCACTTCATTATCCATAGAGCTAGTAGTTTTTATTTTTAATTTTTCTCTCTCCTACGCTTGACAAACAGCTTCCAATTCTATTAATGTGTTCATTAGTTCATTATAAAATCCCACACATCAATCCCCATAAACCCAAGATCTACAAATTTAACATCAAAGTCTTGGCACACACGGTCTCCAACCATGGATCCAAGGACCAAGTGGGTCAACGATATCAGACTCTGCTCAACTTGACGTCAACCACTTCGGATCTTCAATGTGACATAAAAAGGGAAAATACTCAAGAGACTTGGATTCATTTCTTGATTATGTTGTAGCGGTGTGATACTAAGCTTAATGCGCTCCTTAAACTGGGAGGTCCAGGTTACAATTCTAGAAGGTTGGTCAAGCTTTGAGCCACTTCCAAAAAAAAAAAAACACACAAGAAAGGGGGTGTGGCTTGACGGGGCTGTGCCCACACTCCTTACCAAATGGAGAATAGCGTCACCATTCTGTTTCCACTTTCCACCAGACCACACTCTCAAGGTCTTTTATTCTTTATCTTGAGTCCCATCGAGTTTGATCGAGTTTGATCAAGTTTGATTCATAGATGTACATTTGCATGTGCAAGTCACTGGCCGATCACATGAAATCCAACAAGCACCGATTCCAAATCATATCTCAGTACTCAGTGGACACCTTCTCCTAGAACAAGATCGTCGGCTACTATTCTCTTGGGACACAACTAAGATTAGTATTAGCGTTTCTACGCGACTCCAGAAAGGGAAAGTCTTATGGATCTACAACATATAATATGATGGTGGCGCTCGAACCCTTCTTTGATATATTTCTGAAGGAAATTGACTTTACCAGAAGCTTTCAAGGTAGTGGGATTATGAAGTATGTGGCGCTCTCACAATATATACCTAGGTATAGGTATATATATGTATGTTGTAGATGGTTCTCACGCTATCATCCGCCAACACCAGCACCACCCTTCAAGACATAACATTATTCAACCAACACAACACCCTTCGAGCCCCGTGAAAAAGACCACACTACCATACATATGTGTCAACGGGTCTTGATATGCTGCGAAGGGTCACTTTGTGTATAGGTATTGTATTGTGCTTGGATTTGGTGGTCGAGGGCTGTGTGGCATGCCGTCGTGAGAGTTGGGGTTTTGTTAAGGGGGTTAGAGAGATTGGGTTGGGAGTGATCATGGCGAGGTATGGTCTGGATTGTGGATTCGTGTATCAGTGGGTCGATGTGTGATGATATTTGAGTGGGTTCAGTGGGTTTAGTGGGTTCGGAGATCGTGCTCGATTTGATATCTTGATGTTCGCGGCGGTATCTGACGATGTGAGATTGATGACGGGTGAAGGAAGGGGGCGGGGGGGTACTACTTTCCCCTCATTATAGGTGAAACATTTCAATACTCGGGTGAGATAAAGTATGGTGTATGTCGTGCATTATATACAGAGTAGTTTTTATGTACAATGTCATCGAAGATCGTTATTTACATGTAGAATCATCATGGGTAGTCCGAGTTATTCAAACTCGGACTCTGTGCAGCGGAGAGACTCCTTCTTAGCGGGTCAGTGGACGAGCCCTTGGAGGGCGCTCGCGTACGACGAATGTGCGAGCCGTACTCTGGATTCTCTGTGAACGTATCGCTATCCGGCTGCGTCGTGCGAGCATTATGTAAAGAAAGATCCACGAAATCAGACAGGTCGGTGTGGGCCGAGCTGCTGCCACCCACCTCGGTGACGTGCACCAATTTTCCCAGGATCGCATATTCCAGCTTGAGCTTGATGCTGTAGACCATTGCCTTGAGGGTAACGTGGATGTCGAAAAGATCCGAGTATTGTGCTCCTATAATGGCGGCGTCCATCAGAATCATGACTACGTTCACGATCAGGAGTTGGACCAGGGTGCCTCGGTAGTGGCCTCTTGGACGGAGATTCAGGAGCCGTACAGCTTCCCAGGAGTAAATGATGGAGAGGATGATTTCTTGTATGGAGAACCCGACCAATTGGATACGCTCGAAGATGTTAAACCCGCTGGCGAATAGGGCGGATTTGCTCGAATGGCTGCCGACCTCGAGGACGGAGCCGGGGATGTGTAGGATTATCGCATCGACGATGATCATGGCGAGAGTGGCGCGGAGGACGTTTGGGTTGTGGCAGACAAGATGCAATCGAGACCAGAGAACCAGGGATTGGCCCGTTACCATCCCAACCCAAGCAACCAGCTCCATCGCCACGGGGAACATGTTGCTGTAGATGTCGAATATGATGAGGAGATATCCGAGACCAAAAGGGATGACACTGAAGGAGGAGATGAGGAGACACCAAAAATAACACCCGCCATATCGCTTGAAGGTGGTGAAGCACAGAACGATCAATTCCAAGGCATTATACCAGGCAATGGCGATGAGACAGGCAACTGCAGTAAGCTCCGCAAATCGGTCCTGGGCGGAGCGATCAGCGATGCTGAATCTGCTGCCGGGGATGTCGGCAAGCGACATGAGGACATCGCTGGTGGAATCAGCGGTATTGCGTAATTATAAAACAGACATGGCGCCAGAATAAGGTCGCCAGGAGAAAGACATGTAGAAGTGAAAAAAGAAGGCCTCCTGGAGGAAGGGGAATATATTCTAAAGCCGGGGGAGATACGAGGCGAAACGGCAGGAGGTGGCGGAGAAAGTCAAAGATAAACCTTCCTTAGTTGTTATAGATCGATCGCAATTGGCCTAATTCAATCAATAAAATCGGGGCTATTTCGGGGAAACGCCGATGGCGTTTGGGCGAGTTTCTGATAGGACGCCGTCGTCTCAATTTGAGGCGACCAAAGGTACGTACCAAAGGTTCAGTAAAGGTTACTGAGGTAGTACCTAGGTTAGTTATTGGACACATTTTCGTCAGAGTTAAGCATAACATTTGAACAGTAATAATCCGGATTTGTATGATTTCCAAACGAGATAGATCCTGATTTAGGGGAATTTGTGGTCCTTATATTAATGCTATTTCTGAGTGATGATAGGCTAGAGATAAAGACACGGCATCTAGGCAAGGATTATAAATTATATTTGCTACATCAATGTACTCCGTACGGGGTACATATTAGGTTAAGGAGATATTCCGACCTCGGGAGGTAATAGAGGTATTAAATCTACTCAAGTCTACCCTACATTGTACATCCCTGCTATTACGCTACTCTATTTTTGGAAGCTGCTTAAATTTTTATATCTTAGTGCGAACTAGTACTCAAACTGTCAGAATGATACTTGTTCTATATTAATTAACTATAGTTATATGCTGTATGTCCACGGCTTACCCAAAGCGTTCCAATCCTTATTTCCCCCTACAATTTCATAGGCTGGTGCCGTGCGGTTATATTTCTCCTCGGTATATCGAACTTGATTCTCCTATTTGCCCTAGATTCTACCAATAGACTTGGTTGATTCTGGCAATTATCTGGCAGTACGGCAATGTATCGTATGCCACAATGACTGGATTCGCCTGGTTTGGGTCTTGTTGGCAAATAGAGCTATCGAGAGTACTTGAGTAGGCCCGAGGTTCTCCAATTTGGAGAAAGCGATCACAAAACGCAGTATAAATTAACCCACTTGAATTCTCAATTGTACCTCAACTCATTACTTTTTCAGTCAAGCCATTTTTTTCGTTTCATAATGCAAAACCCAAACCCCATTCTCCCAGCGGAGATCCTGCTCCTTATAGCTCGGCTCCTTGGGCCGTTAGACTTGATCCACCTAGCTCGAGCCATTCCGGGCATGGATCGCGACTACAAACCGAAATATTGGACTACAGCCAAGGATGAGGCAGGAGATACTATGTTTCACATAGCCTCTGTCAATGGATGGAACGATATTGTTGAGTCACTGTTCACCAAAAACTTTGATTTCTCTATTCAAAACAGCCGGGGATATACCGCTCTCCACTATGCTTGTCAAAATGATCAATACACCACAGCATCTTTGCTGTTAGATGCCGGCCTGAGTCCCAATATTCTGGCAAAAAACGGCATGACAGCATTACACTCGGCTATTGCTAAGGGAAATACCTCGATTGTCCGACTTTTGCTTGAAAATGGTGCTGATATCTCGGTTATCACGACGGGTGCCTATTCCATGTTACACTGGGCAATGCAAACCCAAAACATTGACATAATTGGCCTGCTTGTCATGAACGGGGCAGATTTCACAAAGGGGGATATCTCTGGACGGACACCTTTACACTGGGCGGCGTCCGATGGAAACATGCAAGCTATGGAGCTGCTATTGAGAGCTGGCGCTGATGCAGCATCCATTGATCATGATGGGTGTACTTCTGCGGATCTTGCAAGTCAGCATGAGTTATCGGTTACTAGGCGAATCGAGAGTGTCCGACAACGAGGAAGTCCTTCACTAGGTATTCATGTTTTGAGTAGCATACTGAGATGGGTATCAGTTTAGGTATAACTGGCAATAATATGGGCCTCTGATATTAACCAAACAATACAAATACGCCACTTTATGGCAGCTGTATAATTAATGTATTTTTTCCTAATTATTTTGGGTATTGAAATTAGCTTGGCACCGCTATATGAAGATGTAACGAATCATCATCATCTTCTTATAAGCTTAGAAATTAACTTATAGGACTAATTGATTTTCACGGACTTTTACTTTTTTTACAAGTGGTACTTATTTTTGTTAAGGAATTATATAGTAAGTAGAGGTACTACTACAATTGACACCTAGGTATAGACCCAATATATAACTATATCTCTTCATACTAATACGTAGTAATCCTCCTAGGTGCGAATTCGTGGTCAAGATGGATCTTTTTGGGGTAGTTTTGTATGAAACTTGTATGAAATCTGGCATCATAATGCTAAAATCAGTATAATATCTACTGAATTCCCACTTCTATAATACTAATATGATGATTGGCAGCAGACTGCTGTACCCCCGGCACTTCTACAGCATTTTGTATCCGCAGATGCTCGAACTGACAGCCTCGCCTTGCCCTGATCAGAAAAAGCAAGAGGAAAAGATTCTTCTAGAGCATTACTACGATGCCACAAAAACAAACGATTCTATCAGAAGGCAACTTCTCAACGATCCACTCCACGAGCTAATAACCGACCCCATTAATTTAGTACCTGGTGGATTAGTACGTTTGCTTCCCCGGCGATCTGTTTACCCGGCTTTCGCAGACAAAGTATGCTAAAATCTCACTGAGGACTATAAGGGAGGAGTATCGTATTAGAAATGCGGTAGTTAGGCCTATTATTCTCGACAGACCTCGGCTAGCCTGTTATATTTCGGTTAGTTCCTGGTATTGAACTAGTTGATACACTAGTTAAATGCCCCAACTTCTGTAACACCGAGACCCCCAATTACCACTGAATTCTTGTATTTTCTGGCAAGTACACTATCTCTATAACTACCGACAAAGTCATCATCGGACGTCAGAATGGAGGGAATGGATCGCAGAGGTCCACTGCTACCCCGGACTACCGATTACGAATCCCCAACTTGCGGGGTTAAATGGATCCCTTTTGTCTGACAGTTTCTGCTGTTTTCTGTGATTATAACGCGGCCATTTTATCTTACCCAGGTGTGTATAATATAATATTCTGCGCTATGGCCTCCCAACAAAAAGAAAGCTTGAATTACGCAACGGAGATGGAGATCGGTACCAACCTCTCTGACTCGACTACATTTCTTTCCGAGTCGCACAAATTATATTTGATTGAACGACATGGCACCGTGGACCTTGATCCGATTCCTACCATGGATTCAGCGGACCCGTACAACTGGCCCTCATGGAAGGTTGGTGGGAATGGCACAGTGTTCCGAATTCCAAGCTGATAGTATCATAGAAATTAACCAACTTGGGTCTTGTCGCGTTCCATGCTTGCATGGGTACCTTCACCGCGGCAGCCATTATCTGTGCCTATGAAGATATTGCGGAAGATCTAGGAGTATCTATCCAACGAGTCAGTTACTTGACCTCTCTACAGATCGCAATTCTGGGAGGTGCCCCATTATTATGGAAACCGCTCTCTCACCGATTTGGAAGGCGTCCAGTTTTTCTACTGTCGCTGGTACTAAGCTGCGTTTGTAACATTGGCTGTGCAAAGAGCACAGACTACGCTTCAATGGCGGCATGCCGAGCTTTGGTTTCATTTTTTATCTCACCTGCTATGGCTATTGGTAGTGTTGTTGTCACCGAGACATTCTTCAAACACGAGAGAGCGCGTTACATGGGCGTTTGGACTCTCATGGTAACCTTAGGTGTGCCAGTTGGTCCTTTCATTTTCGGATTTGTTACTCAGCGTGTTGGATACCGCTGGATCTACTGGATCTTGGCCATTGTGAGTATTCAGCTAGGAACGCTAAATCACATTACTGACCATATATCTAGACCAATGCTGTCGAGTTCATCCTCTACATTTTCTTCGGACCCGAGACCCGTTATATCAGCGACGACGCGCACTCCCCGTCATCTGCTTTCAAGAAAGAGTACCTGTCCCTTCGACGGATCGATCCAACTCCGTTTAAGGTAGCCGAGTTCTGGCACCCCCTGACTTTGATTACAAACATCCCAGTGCTGCTTGTCACTATTGCCTACTCCATGGTTTTCCTCTTCGCCTCAGTCATGAACTCGGTCGAGGTTCCCCAGCTACTGCAACACAAGTTCGAACTCAACGCCCAGCAACTCGGTTTGCTGTTCCTTGGCTTGATTATAGGCTCTCTGTTGGGTGAACAATTAGGCGGGTTCATGTCAGATATGTGGATGAATACTCGTGCACGGAAGATTGGCCGCAAGCCTGCGCCAGAGTTCCGACTCTGGCTGAGCTATGTTGGTTTCCTGCTGAGCATCGCTGGTATGGTTGTTTTCTTGGTATGCACTGAGCAAGCTACCGCTGGGAAATTGGATGTTAGACCAGTGGTTGGGACTGGTGTTGCTGCCTTCGGTAACCAGGTTGTCACCACCGTGCTCACGACCTATGCGGTGGATATTTATCCCCAGGATGCGGGTAGTGTTGGGGTGTTCATCAACTTTATACGCTCAACATGGGGATTCATTGGACCTTTCTGGTAAGTTGGCTTGATTTCCAATTTTTGAAAGCTATAATGCTGATGGCTATTTTAGGTTCACGTCTATGTTCGACAGCGTCGGGATTGCTAATAGCTCTGGTGTCGTCACTGCTTTGATTATGGGTGCTAGCTTCATTCCTACAATGCTGTTGCATTGTCGGGGCAATAGATGATACAGAAGTAGCACTGATTCATTGGGTTCAAGGTGAATTAAAAAGTGAAGAACAATGGATATATAGATTTTAGAACACTGGGTTGAGATACTAGAGGTCGACTCGTCCTTTGATTCCTCACTTTATAAACGCAGATATCTAGGCAATATCCGAGGAAAGAAGCTGAGTGCACTTTAGTCATTGATTGAAAGGTTGAACTGTTGTCTGTAGATGGATTAAAAGGTATCCATAATCATAGAGTGAAGATAGAACAAAGCACATCTGTCGGCACTATTGTAGAATACCTTGCCTCAGCAATCACAACGGACCTGACAACGTACGAGTCCCTCATTCTTTGACAGTGTGCTCGAACACTTCCACTTGATCTTCATAAACCTCGACTTGGGTACTGGCAAATTTCCTGGCCGACACCTTCTCTTCAAACAGCATATCAAGTTCAGCAAAAGTGCGACCTGTTGTTTCTGGAACTCGGAAGAACGTGTATACAACACAAAGGAAGCAAATTCCTCCCCAGAAAAATCCTGCATAATTACTCCAATCCCAGGCCTCAGGGTTCAACATATAGGGAGTTAACACGCCACAGATGATAGCGACAACATTGTATAGGATGCGACCGAGCACCACAGTCTTGATTTGCAGTCGACGAGTCGAAATCTCTGCCACGAGCGAATAGGCCACTGTTCCGACGGAAAGCTGGTAGAATAATGCCCAGCAGAGCATCATTGAACCCGTTGCGAGTGATGCTTGATCCTTATGTGCACTCGGAACCAGGCCGAGGAAACCGATCAAAAATAGAATTGTGCTTAGTCCGCAGAGGCCATAGAGATATAGCGTTCTTCGACCAATTCCGAAAGACATGAGAAGCCATGCTCCAAGGACACCAACCATGTTAATTCCATATTGCCCCATCGCGAATGAATAAGAATTGGATGCTGATAATCCTGCCTGTTCCAGGAAGTATGTGGAGTAATTGGAGAAGGAATTGCCGCTGAGATTCTGAATAGCCCACACAAGACAGACGATCTCTGTTCGCCGTAAATTGGTCCCTTTGAAACAATCAAAGTATGATGCTCCCTCTGAGAGCTTCGCTTCAAGATCCGTAGTATGGCGTATCATGGCAATAGTTTCGTCCGCATTGAAATCCACGTTTCGTTTAGGATTCGTGAGGCGTAGGAGTGCCTTCTTCGCGTCTTCATCCCTATTCCTTCTGATCAACCACCACGGTGATTCCGGGGCGAGATAAATCCCAATAAAGAGAGGAACTGGCCACATCCATTGCAATCCATACGGGATTTTGTATGACCATTGGTCATCCCGGTTTAGCATTGCTTTGATAACTCCAATACCCACAAGTTGGCCAAGACCCCAGCAGAAATTGACATATGAAGTGAGGTATCCTCTTAGGACGACAGGACAAACTTCAGAAGCATAGGTCACTGTGAGCGTTTGAAAAATGCCCCATGGAACTCCGGCGAGGATTTCCGCAGCAAGCAAGGTTTGAATATTGGGCGCCGTGAAAAAGATTGCCGTGAATGCGGTGATTAGGGCTAGGGAAGTCATAATTGTATAGCGGTACCCGAATCGTTCCGAAGCCCATCCGTTGATAAAGAGGCCAATGATTTCTCCGCAGTAGGCGCCGTTGCTGAGACCAGCCTGCCACTATATGCGAGATAGGCATTAGTAACATACCGCGTATGTCTGAAAGAAATACCATTGAAGATCCCACTAGGAAGGAAATGCGGTGTTGGGGAGAGGAGAAAGAGGGAGTAACGACTGGCTCGACATACTGCAGCTGGTACTTGATAGGAGCCATTTGACGTCAATTCGCCGTACTTTTTCGTGAATTGGGGAAATGCATAAAAGTTATTGACCAGACTGATATCATAACCTTCCATCGCGATACAGGTGGAAATGAGAACACTCCACGCGATCGCCTTTGGATAAGTTCTGATACCTTGTAGCAAGGTCATCTTATGCTCCGCCTCAGCAGCTGCTTTCGCATTATTGGTTGCCTTGGCCATTGACACAGAGCCCTGACGTTCGATATCCGCCAGGGCATTCCCTGCCGACGAAATACCATCCTTGGCCATAACTGTATCTCAGGCTGTAGATACGAACAAGAGGAGAAAGTATAGTCATATAACTGAACCACAGGGATCTGCAGAGAAATAATGATTGCCACACGAAGACATTCTTTTGTGGAGTCGAGAACCACTATTTATTTCAAGGGAACGGGGATCCTCTCTGTGGTGTTTGAGACTGTCGGCTATTCCCAATTTGTATTCTGGGTAGCTAATTGGTTAAATGTGAAAGGCTTGGGTCGGCTGCTGATGTGAAGCTTATTTTTAAGAGGAGCACTGTCAACAGAAGAGGTATTTCGAAGCATAACTGATTGCCTTGCTTTCAAAGGCCGTTCCAACCCGTACAGAGGATGTTTCCAATTGGTTCGCCTTTCCTTTGGAAAGGAAACATGATTCCGAGAACAAGGTGCTAGCCAATAGATAGACGAGCACTCGGCGTATCCGTTATGCGGGAAGAAGCTTGTTAGTGAGATAGTAACCGGAATACGGGGTCACATGCAGCCCTGGTGGGGATTCCCCAGATAGATGTTGAGAAAGTCAATTAAAAATGCGGGGCCCCACGGGGATGCAACCTTGGAAGTATCCTGAGGTCTACCTATGTACCTATGTACCTATGTACACTAAATAACTAGGCCCTGTCCACTTATTACATCGCCGTGGGCTACCTAGGTAATTGACCGGAAATCACCAACAAGGGTCGGCTAATGGTAAATCTCTGCTACCGAATACTACGGTTCGGCGCAAGACTCAACCCCTACAACCCCGCATCCCACGGAATGTGAGCCGGATCGTCTATTTATAAAAGGTCGTACAAAACCCGGAGCAAAATAATAAGGAGAACGGTTACTAAGCCAGATTGATCATATTTACCCAGACCTATTTGTGCGGCTATGCATATCCCTTCTCAGTTTCTACTTCTTGGTGCGACAGCCGCGAATGCTGGCGTCGTGAAGCCAAGAGGAACATCCACGATTCCAGACTATTTCCAGACCAGCTATGGTCCGTTTGCTGGTATATATCTCCTAACACCGCTACCAATTGGCCCCTCAAATGTTGATGGATATATGTAAACATAGGTCCGACTGAGGCCGGAAACGCACCCTTTCTGGCCCAGACAAACCTGGCTTCGTTTGGGAAAGATTCTTATGTGCCCAATACGCCGGTGGTGACCGATGTACCTATAATCGGAGAGACTGATGGTGCTGAAATATTCAAACATATGGGAAATCTCTCGTACGTATGGGTACAGCTCACCGGCTCGGTTTCTAGGTGACTAACTATGGGACCTAGGCCTTACATGCCAATTCCTTCAGGATTCGGGGTTAAAGAATATCCACTTCCTTCCGGCAGCAACATCACACAGATGCATATGGTACATCGACACGGATCTCGATATCCTACTTCTAGCTCCTCTGTGGCCACTCTACCAGACCGTATAGCGGAACTTCTAGGAAATGGAACTCGCTTCACTGGCAATCTGGCGTTCCTCAACAGCTGGGAATATCAGCTGGGAAAGGAAGAGCTGACGGCTCTTGGACGACAACAGCTCTTTGATAGCGGTGTGCTTAATTGGTTTAACTATGGTCGACTTTATGATCCATCCTCGCCACTTATCGCCCGTACACCCACTCAAGTGCGAATGTTGCAGTCAGCCGAAAACTTTCTGAACGGCTTCTTTGGCCCGAACTGGACAAAAAATGTTACTTTGGAAGTCCTTATCGAACAAACTGGGTTCAAGAATCCTCTGGCCGGAGACAAGGCGTGTACCAATAACAACAACGATCGGTCAGCAGGAGGAGAGTGGGCAAGCACCGAATGGCAGGAGAAATATCTAAAGCATGCAACGGACCGATTCCGTCAGTCGATGACAGGCAACCCAAACTGGACAATTGCGGACACTTATAATGCCCAGACGATGTGTCCATATGAGACCGTCGGCTTGGGGTACAGCCCGTTTTGCTCCCTCTTTACCAAAGATGAGTGGCTAGGCTTTGAGTATAGCCTTGACCTAAGCTACCACGGAGGAAACGGCTTTGGGTCTCCCACCGGACGGGCAGTGGGTGTTGGCTACGTTGAAGAGCTCATCGCCCGATTGCAGCACCAATACCCTCAACCAGACGAGGGTTTCGCTGCCATCAATGAAACATTGGACACCAGCCCTACAACCTTCCCTTTGAACCAGAACTTGTATTTGGATTTCAGCCACGATACCACCATCTTCTCGATGTTGACAGCGCTAGGCCTCACACAGTTTGGAGAGTTCCTGCCCATCTCCAGTGCGCCGCCAAATCGTGAACTGATTGTCAGCCATATTGTTCCATTCGCGGGGCGCTTCAATATAGAAGTGATTAAAGCACCACGCCCCGTACTTGCGAGGCGCTCGAGCGATCCTCAGGTCTCCCCATATGAGGCCAAGGGGGGTGAAACGACTTATGTGCATATGTTAATGAATCAGAGGACAATCCCTCTTGGACGTAGTATCTCAGAGTGCGGAGACCGGGATGACGGATGGTGCGAGCTGCAGACGTTCATCAAGATTCAGAAGGAAAACATTGTAAAGGCGAAGTATGATGAGAGTTGTTTCGACAACTATTCAGTCCCTGCATACGGGGACATCACAACTGGTGCGATCTGAAGCTACATCCGGAGTTATATCTGCTAAGGCATCTTGTGATTCCAATTCCGAGTTGTCGAGTAACTATATTGAGTATTAGGTAGAAGATATACACAGATCCTAGTCAAATTTTTCAACCCCAGTCAAGGTCGTTCTGACTTGCAATTACTTAAATTGGTTCCAGACGCCTGCACATATCAATCTGTTAGGAGAGGTCTACGTTGTGGACGTTGAAGTGCATGGTGCAATGTGAGGTTAATTGTTGAAGAAGTTGAGCTATAGAAGCTAAGAAAGAGACTGAGAAATCTGACACAATCATTATAAGAAAATTATTTAGGCACCTTTATTAATCTAGAAATTGTATACATGAATGATATATTGTTGTGATTATATGCCGAGCGAGAACCGAGGTTGGACCGATGCCGGACCTACACCCAAGCAATATTATTCAACCGGAATTCTACCACTGCCTGTGAACACTTTACACGTTCTTTCCGACAGTGGTGAGGAGGGGACCGAGAGGGGTGGCAACGGTGGGGAGACCGAGACCAGTGACAAGGGCAACAACGGAGGGAGACAGCTTGATGAGGAGGTGCTGTCCGTCCTTGCCGACAATGTGGAGGAGGTCCTCAACGGGTCCAGAGATGTGGGCGATGAGCTCACCGAGGGAAGCAGCCTTGTAGACGATGGAGCCAACGGGGCCGGCGATACCAGTCAGACCGAGGCCAGCAACGACGGAGGTGAGGGCGGGGGAGAGCTCGATGAGGAGGTTCTCGGTGTTCTTGCCGGTGACGGTAAGGGTAGACTTGACCTTGGGGGCAAGGTCCTGGACAATCTCGCCACGCTTGACGTTCTTGCCGAGAACAGCAACGACGGTACCGACGGGGACACCAACGGTAGGGAGACCAAGACCGGAAACGAGGCCAGCGACCTGGGGGGAGAGGCTGATGAGGAGAGCACCAACGTCGGCACCGACAACAGTGACGAGACCGTCGACGACGGGGCCAAGGCCAGTAAGGAGAGCACCAACGCCGGAGGCGGAGGCGACAACGTCACCGAGGGCAACGCCAAGGCCACCGAGACCAAGGCCGGCGACGAGGGCAGTGACCTCAGGGGAGAGCTCGATGAGGAGGGTACTGGCGTCAGGGCCGGCAACGGTCAGGATGTTATTGAGCTGGGGTCCGAGGTTCTGGACGAGGTGACCATCCTGGACAGCGGGGGCACTGCTGGCAGAGGGGGAGGCGGGGGAGCCGGGGAGGCTAGGGGAGCCGGGGAGGCTAGGGGAGCCGGAGGAGCCGCCAAGGTTCAGGACCTTGCCCAGGTCACCGAGCGAAGAGACAACAGGGAGCTCGTTGAGCTTGAGCTCCTTGGTGATGTCACCAATTTTGAGACCTTTGAGGATGCTATCAAGACCACCAGCAGGGGTGGGAACAGCGAAAGCAGAGCCGGCCAGAGCGGCGACGGCAGCGATGAAAGAGGCCTTCATTGTGAAATTATAATGGGTATATAGAAACTGAAAGGAGTGACCGCAGTTTGTATGAAGAATGAGTGTAGGAAGAAGAGGCTTGGAAGAAAAGGAAACTTTGATGGGAAAGACTGTATTTATATGCTACCTAGGGTATGCACCGAACGTGATCTACGGACACGATCTTGGTTGCCCCTGTCCCGTCCCCTGTTCGGGGTTTTCAGCCTGTTAGGGAAGGAGTAGTATCCTAGACTAACTAGCAGGTCAGCTCCATAGTTGGCGCGATTTCAATAGGATCAATATAATGGGGTCTTAGAGAAGTATTAAGTGGGACTAGCATCTCCATTATACCGAGAGTTGGCGCCATTACAAGCCCACAACATACTCCGTAGATGTGCCGAATAAGCCAAGAATAGGGTCAGCATAGGGTCCTACCCAAGTAGGAACTAATCCCAGGATCTTTTGAAAGTAAAAAGAACCATGGCACTTGTAGCTGAAGCTTACTTGTAGCTGAAGCTTACTTGTAGCTGAAGCTTACTTGTAGCTGAAGCTTACCTAGGTATCCCATAACTTTCGGCATAGTTCCTTGAAGCACTCACTCAAGCCCTACAACATAGATATAGGATCTTCATCAATTCAATTCGATAATCCCAATTAGAATGTTGGGATCTCAATGTCAATCCGGAGACTACCGGATAAGAGGCGTAAATTGAGATCTACATGCCCATGTTTAGGGTGGATAGAGATATAGGAGGGTCTTAGCGCAGGCTAAGATGAGCTTATAGGGTTGACCCATCGGTGTAGTTAGGTATAGTTAGGGTAGTCCGAGTAACTCCGTGGATTAGCCAAGGTTCGGTAAATGAGATCTGGGTTCCACCGGGATCAATTTCAGTGCATCTACAACATACAACTGTTGTAGTACCATCACTGTCAAACCCTCTGATATTCTAAACTCACTTTAAATAGGTAATAAGATCTCTATTATTTGTCACGCCTATTTTTTGTTCCTTTTCTCACTCTTACTCTGGAGTTATTTTTAATGGAAATTAGGGTGGGGACCACCCGGCAAACAAAGAAGGATCTACAAAGAACCAATATACCGAATATAACTGAAAGAGCTCATATATTAGCTTTAAAATCCAATAGTGTGGAACTATATTGCCAATCAGCCAGCATAACTACTGACCCATTTACACTTAAGCGCCATCTAAGATACTACTAGCCATTTATAGTCAACGACCACAGTCTAAGCTTCTAGGGACCGGACCCCCTTTCCGTTGCAAAGGCCCCAATTATCTAGGTTACGATTCTCTCTCTCGATGAAAATTTACACGGATACAGAGTTCGATTGGCTGATCGGAATCTATTGGCCGCTAAAACCCCCTGATATTTGCCGGAACAAAGGCGATGGTCAAACTTAACTTCACTCGGTAACTAACTACATAGTTATGTACCTCCCGTCAGCCACTAGTTACTCCGTACCAGGACCTGGGATCCAAGATCGTGTTCTCCGAAAGCTGGGTGCCACCTACATCACCAAAGGGGTATTTTTTTTTTTTGTTTTGTTTATTTCTGTCCTGGGGTATTCCTGGGAACCCGGCTGTTGTTGGTACCCCCGGATATATTCGCTATGGGGGATAATGGTTTGACATAATTACTTCATTCAGCATATAAGCTAAGCCGCTGGAGATATCCAGAACATCTACGGAGTACTTCGTACTATAGAGCTAATACAACATAGTGGAAATAATCCGGAGGATTTTGACGGCAGACACGTATATGACGTACCGAATGTTCCGTTGCCCCTCCCGTGGGGTCAACACGAGAGAGGTTCTGTCGATCACCAGATGGACTTCGGAAATTCGCTGTTGATACTATCTCGGACTAGACTGGGATTTCTTTTTGTATCTAGGAGGACTATCGTGATCTTAAAAAGGGTTTTTTTTCTCATCACACGGAGTAAACCCAAGCGATGTCGTGATTCACTTGGATTTCCATCCAATCGATTACCGTCTTAATGTTGGAACTTACCAGATTGGCAATAACATAACTCAATAATCATCCTTGTCTTTCCGTGCTTGGGGACAACATGTTAGTTTCCTCAAATCTAAAGCAATAGTTATTAAACAACTATTGTTTATTACACATAGCTGAAGTGGGTTTCAAATGGTCGGTTGGATCTCGTGGAAACCTTCAGAAGACTGTAAGCCCACACCAAGTCTAGGTCCACAAGTAAATGGCTGGGCCACTTCAGCGGTTCCTGTATGTTGAATCCACAACAGAGATCTCTTCTAGCTGCCAAATAGTGGATTCATGGCTCAGCCATGATCATCGACCTTCCCGTTTTGTTCGCTCGGGATCAGTGCAGTTTTAATGAAGAACATGAATCCTAGTTGCCTATGTATAAAGACGTAGATCAATACTTATGTGCATAACGAGGGCATTAAGAAGCTATACCGCTTTATGAGAATCAGGACATCTAATCTGGACAAGTTTGAACATATTTGCCGCCATCTCACTCATTCTTGGCAAATATTCCTATGGATTGATTTCTTCCATGAATTTCCGAAATCTCAAGATTTGGGACTTCAAAATCGCTAGTATGGGCATTAACCTAACCGGGTTACGGCAAATGATAACTAGTTAGACGGATCTGAATTTGCTATAATGTGGACTGGCTATGCGGGATCACCTTGGCATGGGTCAGCTCGCCATAGTAGACATTGCATACCTCCACGGTCGTAATAATGGAGTACATAGAGGCAAATATTACAAAGGACCTCCCCCAGGACAGACGAAAAGCATAAAATGAAATTTCCCGGGGCCAGGCTTGGAAGACAAGCTCATACGTATTTTCTCATGAGTAGATGAAATAGGAGTACTTTGCGCGGATTTTGGAGCCTGTGAGTTGACTAGATCATGAGATATGTCGCTCAACAGGGAAATATGTTGAAGTGGGAGCAAGCCGAAGTGGTATGCACTGATTGAGGTAGGGTTAGCTCAAGTTCAATCTCTCCGAAATAGTTCGAATTTGCTATAAGGAAGAAGTGGACATTCTCCGTAGGAGCTTATAGAGACTATATAGACTGATACCACCCTCTATACATAGAATGGCCTATGCTGGGATAAATTTATATAACCTCTCGGATTTTCCAAATGTGACCGCTACCACCTATCTTGATATTGTAATCCCTGATGCTGTTGTAGTTCTTTATAGTCCTGTGAATTACTGTATCGGGTTAAATTTGCCCTTTTGGGTTTAGCGTCCCAATACAGCGGTAACTATAGGCCAGCTGCCAAACCCCTATTTCCGGTAAATGTTGATGTCTATCTTGGCCTGGCGGCCTGAATTAAGATCGGCAGAAGAATTAAAATACCCGAGTTACTGACACTTTAATAATCAATGTAGCCTGATTTTGCTGGCGTTTACTACAGCTCTCAAAAATGAAACCTTTCATCAACATAGTTGTAAACCGTCCAAGAAGGTCTATGTTCCAAAGAAGTCTACAAAGCCATCTAGATCATTTTCTGCTGGTGAGTCCTTCCCATTGGTTGTCTGTTATTCCGCTGACCTCCCTTGTTGCGAAGTCGGGTTCCAGCTCGGGGATACTCAAAAAGAACGTGTACCCGAACAGGAGGCCACTAAAGAACCTAACAAGTGTTATTTTCGTAATATAGAAGGAGTAATGGGATAAAGACGGAAGGAACGATATGATTCATAAGGCGGGGGGCTTTAATTAGGGAGGGGAAGGTGGTAAGGAAGGAGCATTCATATGTTATATAGTTATATGCAAATATATATTTTAGTATATATACTCGACGTTTACAAAAATTGTAGTATAGGTTATGCTAGGAGAAGACACTATAACTAGACTAAACATATTATAACATAAAATTGATATAGAAGTAATATTAAAAAGTGAGTAAATGAAAGATATTCTGTAGTATTTAGGATAACTAGTTATGCATATGTTGTAGATATACGGTGTAGTTATGGTACGTTTTAGTGTAAAATGGGGTTACGCCAAGGGATATAATCAACTGAATTTGTGTCCGTCCCAGGTTTTGCACCTGAGAGAGACATAAAAATGGATGATGATAAAAGCAGGCTTGGCGGGGACGCCGGAGCTCTTTTTTGAGTACCCCCGAGCTAGTTGTCCTCCTTGATGCTGCATTATGAAGAAGCCCACGCTTCTCCAAGCTCTGACAGAACACTTTTTTCGAAGAGAAATCCTCGAGTGGTTTTGACTCGTGTCACGGCTATAGCCATCCGGTTCTCCATCATTGGCTATTTCAGGATTGGTTGCCTCGCTAGTGCGATCGAGCACTAACGCCCACCTAGATCTGAAAATATTTCATAACCCGCGGATAACACGGGCCGTAGTCTGACGCCATTCCGGCACGGATATTGTTGGCATTGGTCTCCCTCCTATTGTTTCTTCCAGGGAGAAGCGTCTCTGTGTATGCGGCCAATTCCGCAATCGTGGCATAATTGTTGTGCCAACATATTTGTAGATAATGTAGCCAATTAACGGATCATTATCTAACTTTGGGAATTCCATGCATGTTCTGCAGTATGTCCAAGACCTTACGACCGTGCTCATTAGGATTCTCGGTGAGACACCGATCTCCATAAACCTCAAAGCCGTAGTTTATGAGGTAGGACAATGAACCGAGGGCGAATTTTTCGGTTCGAGGACCTAGGAAGCCGGAACTTTCATGAGTATTCTTCCATAAGGGATCTGACGATCAATCTACTCGCGTGCTGATTACCGCCTAGGCTTCACAGCATGATGAGGTGTGATCGGGTCAGTTTCATCTGCCCGGCTCAAGACTCGAGAAGCCATCGATACAAGTTGCCTGTCCTTCGGTCGCGAGATTTTGCTCTTCATGACTAGCAATCAGGAATATGGCATTATTACCGTCGATGGTGGCTGCGTAGTAATAATATTGGAAAGATACAACTCCAAGGTTGAGAACGAAGTAAGCACAGTTTATTCGTATCAAAATTTAGATATCCTCGGGAGGCATACTGTCATCCCCATCGTCCTTATACGGCCAATTTCGCCAACATAATTCCCGCTGGCCCACTTCTGCTTGCCGAACCATTTCCATACGGAACTTCCGGTTGCCCTCCAACGCCCTCTCAAAGTTGTCTGGCTCGGTACCGCCTTCCAGATCTATATCGAGGTGTTCTCTAACCCGGGACAATAGCTGTTCAGACTCATTCCATTCCTGCGACTCCACCATGGCAGTCTCTCGTTCTTCATCGCTAAACACAACTGGACAAGCGGCCGAGGAGATGCTGCTCCATACCGATGGAGTCGTGATACCCACTAACGCAGCACGTAAGTTGATTACGTCTACGTCCCAGGGATACCCTGTCTGGCGAAGGAGATACTGCCGCATTCCGAGATAAGGAAGTCTCAACAAATCCATGTGTTCCTCATTGTGTACGCCTGTCGCGGCTGTGTAGTAAAGGTTGGCCTCTTCTAAGCGAAAGACGGCTCTGCACTGTCTCTGCTGTTCGATTCCCATCTCATCGAAATCATTAGGAAGAGATGGAATCTGTATACTTTGAGGTTGAGATAAATCGTGCTTACAGAATACGGGATAACCCACTTGCATGAAGCGGGGGAATATCACAGCATCCTGCCAATCGATGATACTGATGATTTTGGTTGATCCAGGTGCCAACAAAATGTTGCTCGGACTTAAATCGGGGTGTCTCAGCGACGCAACGCTATAAGAACCCGACCGGATTATATAAGGCGCCAATCGTAGGAATCGCGAAAGTAACGAGGTATGCTCAGAGGGAAGAATATCATGGTTAGTAGGTAAAAGAAAAGTTTGGCGAGGCTAAGCTTTAGCGTGGTGCTGAATAACAGCTATCTCTCGGCGAGCCGCGGACGTAACACAGTCCTCGGGTGAAAGCCCTAATAATAATCAGTCCCGGTCATAGGGATTACTTTCCTAAAACATAAGAACAGACGGGAGAGGGGGAAAGGGAGGAACGTACAGGGTCCACGGTCAATTTCGGGGTTACTTCGTTCGCCATGCCAAAATTGCCGAGCAGACACAGGGCCGATACAGAAATCCTCCACAATTGGTATCTGGGTTTCCCCGTCAAGGTCCTTCTTATGATATAAGCTTCCATACGCAGGAAAGCGGAAATCAAAAATCTTCCTCTCCATATCTGCGATCTGTGTCATAACATCTTTCGTCTCGTCGGTAGTAAGAGATAACCACCGTGAAGAAAGGCTCTCTCCCTTCACTCGCTCCATCAGAATATACTCTGTTCCGATAGGATTGTCCGATGATGTTAAATAAGCCAAGACCTCCGGTATCGGAAGTTTGAGGATATATCGCAAAAAGTTCATGGTAGCCACCTCACTAGCGGTTGTATAATGAGGAGGCCCGGCAATGGGAGTCGGAATTCGGGCGATTACTTCACGGCCATTTTTTGCTCGTAGAAGAAACACTTTGTTAAAGCCTCCCTCTGCAAACTTAGTAATATTAGGGCAATAGTCTTGTTGTACTGCTTCGCCAGCGATCCGTTGGAGCTCTGTTGGTCGAAACTTGACGTACCGTTCGTTTAAACGGTCGGTCTCGTTAAATCTAGCTAGAATTTAGTGGTTACGATCAAAGCAATGATAAGCTTCACCTACATCCATCGTCGTGATGTATTTTGAAAGAATTCCTCCCGGAATGCTGGTGGACTAGTGGATAAGTGATTGCGGGAGGAAGCAGATATGGCAGGCTGCTTGGAACAGGCCAACGGTTTCCGCAAATAGGGAACGGATATACTTCGAGTAATGGCGAGTCTCTGGAAGGAATTCACCATTGTTCAAAAACAACAGTAGTAAAAAAACATTCAGTCACGGGGATGTTGCCTGATGCAGGTTTGTTTACTTTATCGGTTGCGCCGTGGAAGCTAGGAATAGATAAGATAAGCTCCATGCTTACTATATTCACGTGATGTCAGATATTACAGTATTATATCGGTAATTTACTCAGTAGCCGTGCTAATGGGATATCCCATACAATATGTTGGGACCCCAAGTTACTACATACTACATACTTGACTCTTCCAGAGATGTCAGCATATGGCAATTAAATACAATCATCACAATGTAGTAACGAGCAGATCTAGATTTTGACGCTTGGACGAATACAACACGGTTATAATATCACGAATACTGGACGAATTCTTTAATACATAGCAACTCAAACAACCTGAACTTTTTGGGGACCTCGAGATTTACCCTAGAGATAATAGCTCGGACTCAAAATAAATTACTCTGAGGATTCGCGCAGCGAAGCTAGAATAACTATGGATCAGACTTATCGATACCTATATTACTTGCCGCTATATTTATCATAAAGGTAGACCTGGATAAAGGACCGTATAGTTAGTTATTGGGAAATCCGTTGAAGCGGGAGCAAGCAAAAGTGGTATACGCTGTTCAGCGTGTTGTTAACTCTGGTTAGATATATATCCAGTGAAATATATACTTACCACCCATGCTTGATCCGCCACGCTTTTCTATGACAAGATCCCTAACTTTTATACCCCTTTAGGAATATCTTAACAGTGAAATAAGTTCCTAGTAAGGGCAGGTCCTTGGTTATTTTCAGTACTGTCTTCAGACCCTCTTGGAATTGTGACAATTCTACCACATAGTTACCGATGTATGATAATTTGGGGGAGTACTGGGTATAGAGGAAGTTCCCACTCATCAATCGCCCTTCTACGTATATACGATCCATAAATGCATACCCCCTATGGAGTATATGTAGTACACATTTTATTCTTCAAAAAGCGACAAGAGGTGAACAAGAGGTGAACACGTGCCAGACATTATTCTGTTGCACCTCAAAGCTAGCAGTACATAGCCAATCCATCTAGATCAATTCGCAGTATATATTATTCATTATGTACAGGGCATTTCACAAAAAAAGAACGCTTATTTCTTTTTCAAATTCATATGCCCAAAATATTACAAGAAAGTGTTTTCACAACCCGATATGGTACCCCTGGTATGCATCGCCGGCCAGCGGCATCCCCGACAACGGGTCTTGAGAATATAGCCCCTGATTCGGCATATAGCCTATAGAGCTATCAATCAGAGTTTTCTCTATGGAAGCAGACTCCTCCTCGAACCGTTCTAGATGTCCATGCATGTCCCACTTCCTATCACAATATTTGAGCATGTCCCGAATATAGGATAGGCAACGAATGGCACGTGCGTGGCAATTGAACAGGTCCTCGTCGCCCAGTACGGGCGGTTCTGGAGTCCCAGCGGGGACAGAAGGGGGTGCTGGAATAGTGGCGCTAATGAGCTTGTCGTAATTGCAGGACAGGACATTGACAAATAATCGACCCACTTGGTGCACTCGCTGGATGTCCAGGTATGTCAAGAAGGGCAGGGCACTGGGATTTTCCAGAACCTGGTGGATTTGGCTGATGTAGTCCATGCATCGGTCAAATAGAAGAGCTTTGCTGTAGTCGTGGGGGGTTGGATATCGGTGCGAAGGGGATAGCAGGATAATAATTGTGTATAATAATTCAAGTCGGTATAGAAGTGAAAAGTGGTTGGGAGAATTCGGGGGGCATTGATGGAACCATTCCCGCGCTCGCCAGCACAGAGTCCAAATGAGGACCAGGGGCTGCGGGGATGGATCTCGCCCACTATAGTGCATTTCTTGGTAGCCCGCGGAGAGAATCTGTCGGATTTTAACGATATGCAAGGCAGGTGCCGGGCTGCGTAGGAAGATATGAGTTTGCTCTATGGGGGCGCCTGGTGCGGTAATTGATGGCAATGCAACATTCACAGATCCATCGGAGAACGAGTAGGTTCTCTGCATAGCAGGACTCAATCCTCTGCAACTTAAGATTAGCAAGGCACAATTGAGGAACAGAACGAAGACGAACCTGTCTAGACAATATATGCAATGAAAGACACGCCGGCGAATATCAAGTCGATCGGGATTTGTCGAAACTTCAGCAGGGGGATCTTGATGCAAGCCCAGATCAATCGCAACCTTGACAGCCATTCCAACCAAATACCAACCCCGGAAGCGTACTGGGTCAACCAAGGAATATTGAGCAAGTAGTAAGATTGCTTGGATTCCCGAAATTGACCCAGGGCGCAGGACTTCCTCGGCATATGTCAAAGCTTCTGAAACGAGAGCCCACGCCCTTTGATGGCTCTTATCGTTGTTATAGTATGATACGGATGCCGAAGCGATGGCGAGAACCATGCGCAACATCCAATGGTCGAACGGTTTGGCGAACCGGCCGCCTGACTGATATACGGCATCCACCGAGGTCCAGAAGCTCGTTTCGACAAAGAAAGGCAGTTGGACAAAAACATTATCGAAATAGTATTGTAGCAACGGCGTCGCTTCGTGCCGCGGCGGTAGTGGATAGGGGGAGGATGGTGGGCAAGCGTCGGCTAGAGCGACAGAGAGGAGAAGGTTGGCGAAGGAGGTACTCGAGGTGATGCCGTGGAAGTCTCGCGAAGTTGCATTGACCGACCTTTCGAAAATGTCAGCGGGCAAACAAAAAGAACCAATTCAGTCATACTAACAAGAAACCAAAATCGCCAACTAAGTCGTCAATATCTGAAACCTCTCTGCGGTGGGCAGGGCTTAATGCATTTTCGGACGCGACGGAGGTGATCGACATTTCCCGAGGTATCCCATCACCCTCAGCAGACAGGGAGGTTGATCGGGCACGCATCTGACTGATCTTCTTTTCGAGTTTCTCACAATACCCTTCCAGTGACGCGACATAACTCCTTTCTTTTCCTTTGGCGAACTCATCACTTGCCCCGGAGCAAGTGGTCGCCTTGCCGACTCTTTCGCAAGCCGAACAAGCGGGGAGTTT